GGTTGGCCCAGGATCGGGCAGTGTTTTGTTCTGTTGTGCATATGGTCACTATGAGTTGGCACCGACTCGATGGCACCTAACAACAACAACAATGGCTAGTGATTGTGAACATTTATTCATGTTTGTTGGCTGCCTGAATCTCTTCCTTGGTTAAGTGTCCATACACATTTTTTAAATTGGGTATTGGGCAGATATAGTTTTGAAATGGATTGCTCAAAGTCAAGTTAATTCTTCCATAAAAGATCAACTAGCTTTGTCCAAGACAAATAAAGAAACATTGAACAAACCTGCCCATCAAGTCGATTCCAACTCATACCCAAGGTTGCAAATCTTGTGAGGTTGGCACAGAACCAGGCAGTGCTTTGTTCTGTGGTGCATAAGGTCACTATGAGTCAGTACCGACTCGACGGCACCTAACAACAACACTTACCCAGGTCTGTGACGTTCTTGTCATTCGGTCCCCACTGGGAGGGGCCAGCTGCTGAGGGAAACAAACCCAGTAACTCTGCTCAGGGAGTGTGGGGTCAGCTCAGCATTCGGGGAGCACAGGGACCAGCTAGGGGCATCTGGGGCTCTTGTGGCAGAAGGGAACACAGTGAGTGGAGGACAGGCCGTTCACAGATGAACATCAATGACAAGACCAGCCATGCTGTGCCTGAGGAGGGCCCACGGCTCACCAGTTCAGCCTACGGGTTCCTGGTGGCCATCCTCAATCCATGAACACCCAGTTTCTAGCCTGGGTGACCCAGCTCACGTCTCTGCCACCCACGAAGCAGGAACTCTAACCTCAACAGTGAGGTCTGAGCCTTAGCCTTGGTGGGTAGGAGAGATCTGCTTCCAAGCATGTCCATTTCTTGGGGCCTGTCTCAGCCCTGGCACACTCTTTAGAGTTCTCCTTCACACTTGATAATTACATGGATTGAATTGTGTCCCTCAAATGTGTGTCGACATGGCTGGGCCAGGGCCCTCTACAATTTGGCAGTTATGCACTGAAGTTATTTGTCGGTTATATCCTCACCCCTCATGCTCTGATCAGCCAATCAGCTGTGAGGGATCAGGGTGGGCTATAACACTTTTATTCAGGCCAAAGCCCTGGTCCCATGTAAGGGAGTTTCCATGAGGTATGGCTGGTATCACCTTTTATCTTATAGGAGAAGAAAGGAGAGAGCAGGGAGCTGAGACAGAGGTAACTACTGCCACCAAGAAGGAAAAGCCGGGAGTGGTGCATGTCCTTTGGATCCAGGGTCCCTGTGCTAAGAACCTCCTAGACCTAGGGGAGACTGATGCTGAGACACATGGAGATCTCCAAGGGACCTGGGCTCTCAGATCTTGAAAGGAGACCAGGACCTGCCTCCAGGCTGACAGAGAGAGAAAGCCTTCCCCCAGAGATGGTGCCCTGCCTTAGACACCTAGTTTCCTAAACTGTGAGAAAATAGACTGCTGTTTGTTGTGGTCACTCCCTTTTGATATCTGTTACAGAAGCACTGAAGAATTAAGAGAACAATTAAGACAATAATTAATTCCTTGTGATAGGCTAGCAGTTCTTTTTATTACATTCTCTCTGGTCAAATGACTAGACAGTCTGTCTTCTGACTGGCTCCCAGTTGATAGATTGTGTTTGGAACAGAACTTGGAACTCAGTACAATTTCGGACTTGAGACATCTCTGAAAACAAATCGTCTTGAGAATGGTGTCTGTGTTGAAAGGGGGAGTTGGCGGTTTCCCAGGACCGATGCAGGGAATTTCTGTCTGAAAACGTTGGTTTGAAAAGGCAGCAGAGACACTAGGTCTCAGGCCCTGGGATTACCTGCTGAGTGGTTTTAACAAGAAGGTCTGAATCTTTTGATGCCCACAGCACAAGGAGACAAGGACACCAGGCTGACCTAAGGAAATGCAGGCTCGTACATCCTGGAAGGAAATACTGCTAGGGGTGGGCTCCTGGGATCTCGGGGCTCTGCTGGGAGTGTTTTCTTAATTATATACACCTGATTCCATGCCTGGCATCCCTAAGCACTCTTGAAGTGTCAACAGGAGTATAATTTTAGATGAAACTATGTTGGTTTGTGGTCACCAACATCCTGAAACGCTGGCATGCTTAACCAGCCACATTTTAAACACAAAATACATGAATATAATAAAATAATCACCAAAAGTTTGTGTTTGTAAGTAGCTAAGCTTTCTCCACGTCTGTCCTTGAAGCCAAACCGAAAGCCAAACCCACGGACACGGAGTGGGTCCCACCTCACAGCGACCCAAGAGGACAGCGGAGAGCTGTCCCCCTGGTGTTACTGAGACTGTCAATCTTTATGGAAGGGAACGGCCTCATCTTTCTCCCAAGAAGCAACTGGTAGATTTGAACCACTGACCTTGTAGTAAGCAGCTCAACACGCAATCCACTGCACGACCAGGGCTCCTCTTGTCCTTGAAGATAGAATACTTTCTCTCCTCTGGTCTCCTCCTTTTCAACTCACCTTTCATTCTAAAAGCCCTGATTCAGCAAATGCACCTTTATACCTTTATTATTAACTGGACTGCAAACCATAAGGTCAGTGGTTCAAACCGACCAGTTGCTCCTCAGAAACCTTATCTATACAGGGTCGCTATGAGTCGGAACTGACAGGGTGGCATTTAATAACAACAAAACAATAGCAAACAAGGAAAGAAAAATGAGTTGATTTTCTATACAGGAGAAAAAAGATGACTCCAAATATACAAAATAATTTATATAAAATTCGTTTTAGAAAGATCTTCTTCCTCCAGGGGGGTAGGGATAAAAACCACACTGCTAGACTCTTTGAACATTTCATGATTTTAATTTTCCTAGAAGTACATTCTTTAAAAGAAGTTAACAACTTCGATTTCAAAGATAAGGATTAAATAATGCAAATGAACAGTGGGCATCGTCTGTGAAACTATTGCCTGGTTGCCCTGAAGAGAAGGCTTCTTAGATTGAACGGATGCACAAATCCCTTAGAAAAGCTTCATTTGCTGCCTGTAACGAGTCTTCTTAAGGCCACTTTTTCTTCTCAGACCAGCCCCTTGTCTCCAGCAGAAGGGTTAGCTTGATCATGGCTTGAGGTTCCACAGTGTTTTGTGTATGCGAAGCGAAGACTAAGAGATACTACTGAATTTGCTCCACTGTTGATTCTGCCACAAACACCAAGTGCCAACACTGTAACACGTCCCCTTAATTTTCAGCAAGACACAATGCACAGAAAATTGACGCATGTCCCACCTTCACTGACTCGGGGTCTCCGCTGGGAGTGGTGTGAGGAGGCTGCCGGGGCTGACCAGATACAGAGCGAGTGTGAGACCTCGTGTGCTGATTTGGTCACCTGCAGGTTCTGAGTGTTGGCCCCGCACGGCTTGGGGGTCTACAGACAGGGACTCTGGGTGGCCATGGCTCCGGTCAGCCAGCGCTCACCACGGGCTTTCCTCTGCAAGGCGAGGAAAGAAGCACGCTCCCAGACAGGAACAGAAAGAAGCCAAGGAAAGAATGTTCTAGCTTCGCTGACCCTTTTCCTGTTCCGAGCTGGCATTTACTGCTGGGACAAGAGGGCGCTCCGGTTTGCTTTCATTTTTTCCAGACGTTTCACCAAGTGGCCGTTGCTGACCTCAAGCTCCTCTGTTTTGTCCAGTGCGGAACGGAGCTGGAAACAAAGAGGCAAAGGCTGTGAACTTTGAGGAACTTGTTTCCTCTCAACGGAACAGGGCTCGTGTGACCAAGACTCCAATCCTGATTAAAAAAAAGATATTTTAACTTGGGCCCATTGAAATCCAAAAAATACACACCTATGAGGGAGCTTCAAAAAGTCAGTGGGATTGAGAACATCGGTCTCCACAGTCCTGAGACCAGAAGAACCAGACGGTACCCGGCTACTACTACCAACTGCTCTGAGAGGGACACGTTAGAGGGCTCTGGATAGAAGAGGAGAAAAGTGCGGAACAAAACTCAGAGGCATAAAAAGGCCCAAGCTTACTTACTGGCTGGAGCGAGACTGGACATATATCAATTTTCAACCAAAACAACAGATTAGCCTATAAGATGAACAATAACACTAGGGAGGGGGGGCACACAGCCATTTGAGATGAAAAAAAAGAGGCAGCATTTATCCAAGGACCAAGCTCAGAAGGGTTAGGAAAGGAGGACTGGAAACAGGAAACTCAGGGAAGACGTGGGATGAGTGATGCTCCACGGAAGGGATTACAATCAGTGAGCTCAAACAAAACGTATGGATTCCTGAGTGCACAACTGATCATCTGCTCTGTAAACCTTCATCCAACTCACAGAAAGTCCAAAAAAAAGCCGTCTGTGGAAAAATTTCACTCTTTTAAATTCCATTTCTCCATGAACTTTCTGAAGCATACATTTCCCCCGCATACATTCGAGTATCTACACGTGTTTGTTAGACATGTGTTTTTTAGACAAAGACTTCAGACTCAGTTAAAAATCACTTTCACTGCCATTTACTTAGCTACAGACAGTATGTTCCCGCATGATGATGTCATGACAAGTGATAAACAGTATGAAAAGTAAAGAAAACATTGAAGTTACTAATGGCATTATTCTGCTTGGATCAACAATCAACATTCATGGAAGCAGCTGTCAAGAAATCCAGCAACATACGGCATTAGGTAAATCTGCTGCAAAAAGGTCTCATTAAAAGCTTTACGACTCAAAGACATCACTTTGATGACTGAGGTGTGCCCAACCCAAGCCAAAGTCTTTTCAACAGTTTCAAATACATGTGGAAGCTGGCAAATGAAAAAGGGAGGCTGAAGAAGAGTAGATCGATGCGTTCCATCTACGGTGTTGGCGAAGCATGCTGAATACACCATGGATGGCCAGAAGAATGAGCAAGTTAGCCTTAGAAGAGATACAACCAGGCTCCTTAGGAGTGAGGAAGGCAGCCTGCTAGCTTGTTCGCACTGGACTAAACAAGGACCTCATGTTCGTTAAGGTGACGGGTCAGGGGAGGCGGAGAGGATCCTCCATGAAACCGGCACCATTCGACTCCGCCCTTGCTCTGTAAGGCACAAGATCCCCATGACTTAGAGCCAGCTTGACACCAACTGACCACAGCACGGCGCTGCCCAACGTTTGGGATGATATGGGAACAACCCAGTGGTCCACCGAATGTGTAACTACTCCCACCTGGGTTCCCAGCCGGGTTAGCATGTCACCCACCCTTTCTCTAGAAACCACCCCGGAAACCTACCTCTCTTTGGAGTTTTCGTTTTTCGGCTTTCAGTTCATCTTCTATTTTCTCTGCATTTTCAGCAGCCGATTTATAACGTGATACTTGACCCTCTAACCTTATTACCTAAAAGAAAAGGAAAAACCACAGGCATAAATCCATAGGCCTGTTTTCATTCTCTGAATGCTTCGTCCTATTTGAAATCAAAAGGGTGTGCTTAAATCAAATGGGAAGAGACAGAATGCAAATATAGCATTTATAGCTCCAACGGCTCAGCCATGATTTTGAGATCTCTTAGTGACTCCAAGAGGACTTGTAATCCAGAGGGTCCCTTCTTGCTCTCACTTCTGTCTCGCCCCTTTCTGGGATTATCTTGTTGGACAATGGGTAAATTGAGGCAGAACCTAAGACAAGGGTCCCACCTGTTTAATCTCTCCTAGGGGTGGTGGGTGGGGCAGTAGGAGAGGGGGAGGAAAAGCAAGGCAATAATACAAGAGCTAAAGGAGGGTTCAGATTTGTGTTCCACAGTCGAGGCCTGCAGTCCCAGACAGGTGCAAAGGCTGACCTGAGCCCAGAATTCCATTGAGACCAAACGCATCCCTGTGGTGGTATGGCTAGTGTTCAGATTTTTGTTTCTCTAAAGACTTGAAAATGTTCCAGCCACTCAGACCCACAAGTGAGGGGAAATGACAGCTGTTTCTTCCTTCCCTTTTAGTAAGGACTGAAAAGGGTGCTCAGCTGAAGACCAAAAGGTTGGAGGTTTGAATCTTCTCAGCGGCACCATGGAAGAAAGGCCTGGCACTCTATGTCTGAACTATCACTTGTTGGAAATCTGTGGAGTGCGACTCCGCTCTAACACGTGGGGTCACCAGGCGTTGGGCTGACTTCCTGGCAGCTGGCTTCTAGGTAGGAGGGTACCATTTACACTGGGTCCAGCATGCCAGGAGCAGGAAAGCCCCAAATCTAGAACCAGGGAAAGTTTGTGCACCTGGAGAGACAGGTGAGAAATCCAGGCCAGTTGAGTGGTTTTTTAAAGTTTTTATTGTGAATTGAGTGATAGTTTACATGGGAGAACACTGGTTTTCACACCATTGTTTCATTGCAATGATTACAATCTCGCAGGAGTGTTTTTAAACTCATGAAATTATTTTTAAAGAATGAAATTGATTGAAACCTCCAAGTCACATTAGGTTTTTCCTACAACTAAACCCACTGTAGGAGTTCTGGTAGCGTAGTGATTACGAATTGGGCTGTGAACCGCAAGGTCAGCAGTTTGAAACTACCAGCTGCTCCACGGAAGGAAGACGAGGCGTTCTGCTCCCGTAAAGATTAACAGGCTCGGAAACCCTGTGCAGGGTTACTATGAGTCGGAACCAACTCCACGGCACATAACAACAACAGCAAACCCACTATGGGACTCCTGGTGTGGCGCTGTGAGTTAATGTGCCAGACTGCAAAGTGTTTGAACTGCAAGGTTGGCGGTTCAAGCTTACTAGCTGCTCCTCGGAAACCCTATACAGGGCTGCTATGGGTCGGAATCGACTCGACGGCACTTACAACAACAAAAACAAACCCACTATGAGGAGCCCTGGTGGAGTAGTGGGTACGCCTTGGGCTGCTAATCACAAGGTTAGTAGTTTGAATCTACAGGCTGCTCCGTGGGAGAAAGGTGAGGCTTTCTGCTCCTGTAAAGATTTACAGCTTCGGAAACCCCCGCACAGGGTCGCTATGAATCAGAACCGACTCCAGGGCACACCACCAGCAAACGCACTGCTGCCGAGTTGATTCTAACTCACAGGGATCCTATAACAACAGTGTCCAACGGCCTTGCAGGCTTTCTAAGGCCGTAAATCTTTATGGGAGCAGATAGCCTCATCTTTCTCCCACTGAGAGGCTGGTTGGTTTGAACAGCCAGCCTTTTAGTTAGCAGCTGAGTGTTAATCCACTGAGCCACTTTCCCACCCATGAGGTGGAGTCAATTCTGATTTGCTGACCCTATAGGTCAGGGGAGAATTCTCCACTGGCTTTCCATGGCCGTAAATCTTCACGGGAGCAGACAACCTCATCTTTCTTCTGCGGAGCGGCTGGTGGTTTCCAACTTTCAACCTTTGGGCTAGCAGTGCTTTAACCACTGCTCCACCAGGATTTGCTCTCCCTACAACTATTGCTTCTGAAGGATTTTTATCCCCTGAACACCCCAAATCCGAATCATAATCTTCTAAGAAATTCATGGGGAGGTTTGTTGTCTTTCTTTGCACACCCGCCCCTCCCTACTCCCCTGCGAGCTCACTGGGCTGTAAAAAGCTCTGCCTCTGTTTACCCACAGCCTCTCGGGCAATTTTCTAGCTAGTCACACTGGCGATGTGCACTGGCTTAGCCAGCCATTCCTGCCCACAAGTGTTCACACGTACATTTTGTTCTAATGCAGTGATCTCTTGCTCGGATTTTGCAAGTTTGAATTTGAGGTCGCTGATCTGTCTGTTGGCATCTCCTAAAGGCAGAGAGAGAGAAAGAGATTCTGTTCAGCTTTCGGGCTTTTACAATGGCAAAGCAGTTGTTACTCGGAACCAGGAGTACTTCATTATCATCTTCTAAACCTGGAAGTTCTGGGCTGTGGTTCCTGACCAGGGAGACGGGGCTTTCTCAGAATGTACCCAGGCTAGGAGGTGCACCTCCTCCCTTCTGTAGCCCCCAAGCCCAAGGAGAAAAGAGGGCAGAGAAGTGAGCCAGGGAGAAAGACTGGGTATCATTTCATCTCCTTTAAGCATAAACATGGACTCTGGCTGTGGCGCTGTGGGTTAAATGCGCTGGATTGCAAGGTCGGTGGTTCAAGCTCACCAGTTGCTCCTCAGAAACCCTATACAGGGTTGCTATGGGTCAGCACTGACCCGATGGCACTTGACAACAACAAAGCATAAGGATGGAGTCCTGGTGTGGCACTACAGGATAAGCACTCGACTGCAAGGTTCGTTTGAAACACAAGGTCAGCAGTTCAAACCCACCAGCCACTCCTCGGAAACAGGGTCTTTAAGAGTTGGAACTGACTTAATGGCATTTAACAACATGGACATTATGCTTGGTTAAGTGGAGGGTCAGCGAAAACCAGGAAGCCCCCCAATGAAATGGACTAACACAGTGGCAACAGCAATGGGCTCAAACGTAACAATTGTGGCGATGGCGCAGGGCCAGGCCGAGCTCCATTCTGTTGTGCATGGGGTCCCAATGAGTCAAAGTGGACTAGGTGGGACCCAACAACAAGAAGTCTGTTTCTAGAGCCCTGGTGTGGTGCTGTAGGGTCAGCACAGGATTGCTAACCACAAGGTCAGTGGTTCAAACCCACTAGCTGCTCTGAGGGAGAACGATGAGGCAGTCTGCTCCCATACAGACTGACAATCTCGGAGACCCTTTGGAGCAGCTCTACTCTGTCCAACTGGGTCATTATGAGTAGAGGAAGTCTGTTCTAGGAGTTCCTCAGTGGCACACATGGGTAAGTGCTTGAATGCTAACTGGAAAGTTGTTGGTTCAAGGCCATCCAGATACCTCAGAAGCAAGACCTAGTGATCTACTTCTGAAAGATCACAACCACTGGGAACCCTGTGGAGCACAGTTCTACTCTTACACAAATGGGGTTTCAATGAGTCAAAGCTGGCTTAAGATCAACTGGCTGAAAAAAAATACACTGTTTTATAAGCCTGCTTCTCATTGGCATCGGAAAATACTTTTCAATTGTTCTACATGATTAGCAAGTCAAGGGACTGCTATGTCCATCAACAGTTCATAGGATGGTACCTGGGGGGCCCCGGGAGCCCTGCTCTACCTCACAGGCTCCTCCGCCCACCTGCCCCTCCTGGCTGTGTCCCCCCCCCACGTCTTTGATCTTTGGCTCTCTAGGGCTTTGCAGGGCAAAGGTGAGTACGGGGAACCCTGGGCACCCTGCAGTTGGAGTTCCTGTTCTTCAGAGGAGTGTAATAGAAACAGCTTTTGCTTACTTTGTAGATCCAGGACGTGCACGTCGGTCCCGTTTTCCACGATGTCCTCTTCAGACCGTAAGTCACCCAGCTTTCCGTCCTTCTGTTTTTGTCCCAGCTGCCCTTTGAGTTTCTTCACCTGGAAACATACGGGGGTCAATATGTTAATTTCTCCATTCAAAACCTGAGCTTAGAGGCTGTCAGCAAGTAGTGTGTCAATGAAAACCAACACTCCCTTTGTAGAACTGGCCTCTATGCACAAGTTTTTAGTGTGTCTTCAGGGCACCAGGGGAGACAGGGGTTACGTAACAAAAAGGATGAGAGAAATGAGCTCCAGGGTTATAGCTCAGCAGGCAGGTATGTAGTGGGTTTCTCTTCCACTTATGAAAAAGTTTACTACATTATATACATTAAAAAACAAAACAAAATAAAAACTCTATCATTAGTACTCTTATCAGTGAGTGATGTTTACAATGTTGTTGTTACCTGTGTGGAGTCAGCTCCGACCCATAGCAACTCTGTATAGGATTTCCAAGGAGCAACTGGTGAGCTTGAACCACTGACCCTTGGGTTCAAACCGACTTTGTAGTCCAAGAAGCATAAATTATTTTGTTAACTCTGGGTGAAAAGTTATTTCTAAAGTTGAAACTGCTCTTGAACTCAGGAGATTGTTCATAAAGTACTTCACATGTCTGTTGTTTGTGTTGAGTTGATTCTGACTCACGGTGCCCCCTATGTGTGCAGAATAGAACTGCTCCAGAGAGTTTTCACCACTTAAAAGCTCTGGTAGCGTAGTGGTTACGAATCGGGCTGCGAACCGGAAGGTCAGCAGTTCGAAACTACCAGCTGCTCCGCGGGAGAAAGATGAGGCGATCTGCTCCCGTAAAGATTTACAGCCTCGGAAACCCTATTCAGGGTCGCTATGGGTCGAAACCGACTCGACGGCACTTAACAACAACAACAACCTTTGTTTGCACACCACCAGCCTTTTGGCTAGTAGTTAAGTGCTTAATTGTTTGCAAATCTTTGCTAGAAGTAACTCAAATCAATGTGTCATCAACCTTTGCTTTATTGACTAAGAAGCCAGAAATAGGGCCACCTGGAAGCTTCCAGACCCAGAAGAACTATAATGAAGTTCCAACAAACCTACTTATCTTCATGCAGAGCCTGGTCACATTTCTGACTGGCCAGCCTTAAGGGGGCTTCCCGCCTCGACATAACGTTCCTCTCTCTCAGTGCAAGTGAAACCTGTCTGGTTGGGACTACACTTCACCAGACAGGTTTGCTGTAGGATTTTCTGGCATCTAAATTGCATCGCCCAAGCCCTTTTCATAGGAAACTCCAGATCTATGAGGAATTGTCTGCAGGTGATCACCTGCTTGCTCTGTAACAGATGCACAAACAAATCCGTCTTGAAAGAAGACAGCATGAATGTTCATTAGAAGCCAGGGTGACAAGACTTACTCTTGTACTTTGGACATATTACCAGGAGGTACGAGTCCCAAGAGAAAGACATCAAGCTTGATAAATGGATGGTCAGCGAAAAAGAGGACTCCCAAGGAGACCGACTGGCACAGTGACAGCAGCAATGGGCTCAAACACAGTCATTCTGAGGCTGGTACAGGACGGGGCAGCGTTTTGTTCTGTAGCGCATAAGGTCGTTATAAGTCAGAACTGACCTGACAGCATCTAACAATAACAGTGTATGTTGCTTTAAGAAAATAAACAGACAATTATACATGATGCAATTGATTTAAAATGATGACCAAAATCCAACCTGCTGCCATTGAGTTGATTCCGACTCACAGCGACTTTATAGGACAGAGTAGAGCTGTTCCTTAGGGTTCCCCAAGTTCAGGCTGCAAGCTTTCTCCCACCACGTGGCCGGTGGCTTTAAAGTGCCACACCTGAGCACATTCAATCACTATCCCACCAGGCCCCCTTAGAAGTAGGGTGTGTTGGTGTTTGCTGTTACTGTTCTATGCCACAGACTTGGTTCTGATTCACAGCGACCCTGTATAGGGTTTCTGAGGGGCAGATGGTGGGTTTGAACTGCCAACCTTTTGGTTAGCAGTCTAGTGTTTATTCTACTGTTGTTGTTGTTAAGTGCTGTCGAGTCGATTCCGACTCATAGTGACCCTGTATAGGGTTTCCGAGGAACAACTGGTGGGTTTGCACTGCCAAAAGAGAAAGACTGCAGAAAGTGTAGTAGACTCTTCCCACCATATTTAGTGTTTTACTCAACTCTGGGAGAAACTGTCAACTGACTTGTACAGAGTATGTCAAATCCACAGCATTACGCATTTGGAGAGAACGTAAGAATGATGTTTCTTTAGAAAGGGACTGCCGAGTGGATTAATGACAACCTCATATAGAAAGAAGAGCAAACAGGACAATTATTTCCTGCTTCTTGAGGCGAAAGAGAACAATGCAGAGATAAAAGAACTCCATCGGCTCTAAGGCTGTGGGAGCTGATGGACGGGAACTGCTCACCCCTCAGACGGCTTACGAGGAGGGATTACAAACTGGACTTTCACACACAATTCATTAGGAGAAGTGGTGTTTGGCACGACTCAGTAATGCCTCTGCCTCGCAGTGCTGTATCTGGACCTTCTACCCAAGTACTTATTGTAAGTGGCAATTCAAGTAAAACATGCTGTATTTACGTCCATGAACTTTGGAGGGACACCCTCACTGGATCTCATACGATTTAGGTTCTACTTGTTCTTGTGGTCGGCTGCCATTGAGCGGGCCCTGAGTCCTGGCAAACCCCTGAACACTGGATCAAGACGCGGCCCAGTGCTGTGCCTTCCCCATGACTAGACTGGACCGTTGTGATCCAGATGGTTTGCAGCGGATGGTTTTATGGAAGTAGATTGCTTAGTCTCGGTCTGAAAGCTCTTCCTGAAACTTGTTCAGATTCACAGCAACACAGTTGCTGTGGCTGAAATGCACTGGCTCGAAAAGAACCCAGGTTTCTAGAAGGCGAGAACCGTATCCCTAAACCACCTCCACCCCTGCCTTGATAACTGATATTCCGGCATGATGTGAAGGGGGTTTCTTCAAGAGGCGAGAAGTCAGATGGATTAACTCTTCGTGGGAAGCATGGAGAGTGATATTACCTGTTCCAGAAGACATTCCCGTTCCTCCACCAGCTTTTTCAACCTAATATCTAGAGAAATCAGAAAAGACCGAGGTTTAGGTGAATCCATGTATGACACTCCGTGGCACATTATTAAACCCGAGGATGATCATTTAGGTGAGTGAAATGAATGATGAACGTAGTGAGAACGTACCACTATGAATGATGTCACAGAGAGGACGTGGGGGCAGGTCAGCCAAGGGAGGGTGCGTCAACCTCCCAGAACATGCTCGGTGTGTCCGCAGCAGCTTCCGGGGGCATGCAAACACGCTAATCTCCTACTTTAGGTTAGCATGCAAGGGCTCTAGGTCAAAGCACACTGCAACACAAGATCTCACAGGCTCATAGTTTACATCGTTAGCAATGGACAAACACACCGACAGTCACCCATCACCAGCCTCTTAACTCGTCTTGCCTTCCCCCAGGCTCCCTCCCCAGAAATGGTTTTTCTTTTGCATCAGGGTCAGAAGTTGGGCTCTATGTTTCCTAACTGCTAAGTTTATGACCGTCTGCAGACAGAGAGAGGCATTCTTTTCCGGAGACGCCCTGAGACTGCCTCTCTATCATTCCTCTGTACGTGAGCACCTACGACTTCCCCGACTCCTCTCCGAAGGGTTCTCTGCAGCAACATAATTTCCAGGTCAGAGCTGGGAAACCACAACCTGGGCACGGTGACAGCAGGCGTGGCCCCCATACTCTGTGCCCACCGGCTTTCACCTTCATCAAGTGCTGTGGGTGGACCAGAGATGACATGCCAGTCTGGAAGGGGGTGGACCCGCCTCAGAGATGCACCCCGAACCACTCCACTGTCTTCCAGACTAAACTCAGCTCACGGTGGACTCCTGTCCCCAAGCTCTCACTCTGGAAGGAACAGCGCTCTCATACGCACTAGCTCCAAATTCATCAAAGTAAAATGTTAGCCTTGATTTCTTACATGAAATCAAACTAATGAATATAAACTGCATCTTCATTTTCATTAAAAAATAGTCTATTCACATTCTAACCTAAGTTACACAGTTCTCTAGCAATTTGTTTCTTAAAGAAAAGACCTTCTGAAGTTATTCTGAAAGGCACAATATCAAAATCAAAGAAACTCATAAAATGTTAAACATAATATAAATTTATGACTCATTTGAGGTCTGGTTTAAATGACAAACAAGTGGCTTTCAAATAGAGTTCCATTCTTTCTTTTCCATACACCCATCCAACACTGAAACAAAAATATTTATACTTATAAATCCAAGTCTTTTATTCAGTATCACTTTTCCACTTATCTTACATATTTTATACTCTCAGACAGACACATGCTTCACAGGATGCAATAAGAAACACTGTTGTCGTTGTTGTTGTTAAGTGCCGTGGAGTCGGTTCTGACTCAGTGACCCTGCACAGGGTTTCCGAGGCTGTAAATCTTTACGGGAGCAGAACGCCTCATCTTTCTCCCGCGGAACCGCAGGTAGTTTCGAACTGCTGACCTTGCAGTTCACAGCCCGATTCGTAACCACTATCCTACCAGAGCTCCTTAAGAAACACTGAGCACACCAGAAAATGCTCTTGAAATCACCTACCTATTGTACAATTTAATGTTTTTTTCTTTTAAATACCTCAAATACCCACACTGGCTGGTAGAAAAGAATACAAAATTAACAGTGCTGG